AGGTATAGGAATACATGATGTGGAGAATTAGAGATTTTCTTTAATTTTAATTTATTTAGGGGGTTAGGGATAGGGATCTTAGGGTGTTCCTAAGTGGGGCCACCACCTCCACCTGTCCCTTTCATAACCAGCACTCTTGCCATCACATTCTCTCTCTCTCTCTAACTCTTCTGGGGCCCACAATGATTTTGTCCAAATTCCTTGTTTTTACATTTTTTTAATATAATTATGTCTAAAGAGAAACACTCGAAAATAGATAAATTCAACATTATGCTTCGTATTATTTTATTTAACGCTTAAATAATTTGTTTTAAAACTATATAAGTATATTTAATTTTGAGATCGAGATAAAAAAAAAAAAAAAGGGTAGAATGGGAAATCGACCTTGACTTGTGCTAAGGACGTTCTCTCTCATGTCTGGTCAATTCGAGTTTTTAAAAGTTCTTGAGATATCGTATAGATTCCTAACACAAAAGTTGATACCTATAATGACTGGGAGATGTAATACTCCACAACGATATCTATGACTGGAGATGTATACTCCACAACGATATCTATGACAACGACGTAGGCTTAATTTTGAAATGGTTAGAAAGCATAAGTCAATCCCAGACGCAATACTTGTTTAATTTACGCGTAGAATGCACCACGTCCACTAATTCATCCGTTCTCTCTCGAATTCAAATTTTTCTAAAGTGTTTTCTAGAATGAAAGAAATACCTCGCCTTAATCAGAATCCTATTCTATTCTAGATCATTGAATTTTCCATTACCCAAATTTATTCTCTTAAGTTTTAGCTACTTTTCCAAACTTTGTTATTCTAAAGATATTTTCAATTAAAAATAATAATTTGAAATAAAAAAAAACTTGCTGATGGCAGATATTTATCTGCTGCTTTGGTTCATATTACGGTTAGTTGTTAGTTGCGAGAAAGTTTTTCCGCGAAAGTTTTTCAAACTCTTGTAAGAATGCTTTGTTCCTTTCTTCAACCGACGTGGGATCTTACAATCCGTACCCACCTTAGGGGGCCCAGCATCCTCACCTCCCGATATTTCGAAATCCACCGCTAGCAGATATTGTTCTTCCTTGCTCATTATGTATCGCCGTCAGTCTCATGATTTTAAAACGCGTCTACTTTGGAGAGGGTCTAGCCCTACTCACTGACCTCTTTTGTATTCAAATTGCACAATTTTTTTTTTTGCCATTAATATCTTTTAAAAAAAGAAAATTAGAAGAATAATAAAAAAAATTAGAAGAATAATAAAAGAGATTAGTAAAAAATGTCAACAAATTCACTCGGGTGTATATATACATATATATCGTTTTGTGTCGTTGAATAAGATTCCATTATTTATTTAAATAAAATATCAATAATGCATACTTAAGAATTATTATAATTAAAATATATTTTTGTACATAAAGTTTTAAATTATTATCTATTTAGTCCCAAAAATTTTAAAATTAACATTCTAGTCTGAAATTTAAGAAATAGTTTTAAATAGTCCACAAATTAATTTGACTATTACTTACAAATAAAATTATATTTTATTCTCAATTATAATATTAACGATAACGATGTCACGTTATTCTCACATCACATCTATTTAAAAATCTACGAGGAAAAATAAGATATTTGATTTGAAATTTCTAAAACAAGAAAAAAAAAAGAAAAACCCACCTTTTAAATATACGATTTTCTCTAATTATATTAAAAAAAAAAGCGTCAATTTCATATTAATGGAAGGAATAACAATAAGGTTGATTATATATTGTAAAGATAATAAATAATATAAACCCAAATAAAATATAATTTCAAGAAAGCAAAACCCAACCCTCTTTAATTAAATATAATTCCAATCAAATTCCGACACGTGGCTTCACTCATATATTTTTTTTTATTTCGGCTATTTTTTAATTTCAAATTTTAATAACAAGATAAAGATAAGGGAGAGTAACGTCGCTATCTCATTATTGATGCAACCATTAAATAGATGGTTGAATTTTATACAAACACCAAAAAAAAAAAAAAAAAAAAACTTTGTTGACAAGAAATAAAATAAAGTCGGTTGTCTTGTCGTGAAGCAAAATTTCGTAGATGGTATTTCATATTATAATTAAATATATAAAAAAAAAATATTTATATTGCTATAATTATGAAAATTGAGGCATTAATTAGGATTAAAAATTTGATGATGATGATGTAAGTGGAGTCACAAGCATTAAAACATACATTAAATATGTAAATTATAAAATGATTGACTTTGTGGATATATAATTAAATATAAATTACATTAATAATACCCATTTGGAAAGGATTTTAGTTCTAAAAATTAGGTTTGTTTATTAATAACTTTGAGTGCTGTAATTTTGTCACCCCATAATCATTTCCCATCCCATTAATCACTATTTAATTATACCTAATATTATTGCCTTTTTAAATATATCATCCAATAATTTCATTGATTTTATTTTATTTTATTTTATTATTTTTCTAAGTTATATGAACCATAATCATGCTCGACAATGATGATTAGTGTACATCTATGTTTGAAATAAGAAATGATTAAAAAATAAATAATAATAAAAAAAAGAATTTGATTGATTTGTGGTGTAGCTTGCTTGTGGGAAATAAGCACGATTATTAAAAGGTATTATATTTTTTATTTCATTTTTAATTATCTAATTTAGTTTTTATATTTTTTTTATTAAAATTTTAGTATTCACTTTTTTTTAAAAAATTTATTGAAGACCTCTAATAGATTGATTATAAATAAAATTTAAAATTTAGAGATTTATTTAATATTTTAACTTGAGATTCAGTTTTTAATTTTCAAAAATCATACAAAAAAATATATTTTTATTTTTTTATTTTTGGTATTTGATTAAAAATTTAATGTCATAGAAAATAATAATTATTAAAAAAAAAAAAAAAAAAAAAAAAAAAAA